TAGACCCTCTGTCCTTAGACCCTCTGTCCTTAGTAGGGCTGAACGATATACCGTGTCATGGCGATAACCGCGGTATGCGCATGCGCGGTATTCACACCGCAGGGACGTGCGGTTTTATTCATTTTTTTAAAAAATGCTAACGCACTTTAGCACAGAATTCAAAATAAAGATACCCTTATTACTTATCGTAGCTGCACATACAATATATCCGATTAAAGCTGAGACTCCACAGATTATTTAAGTATAGTATAAGCGATCCGATCTCGCAACAGGGGAAGCAAACACAGACATCACAACACGTACCTTTTACGGAGCTTTTACGGGAGATCGTCTCGCCGTAGCTGTCAATCTGATCAAAAGACGTGTTCAATGGCATTAAAACGAGAAGGAAAAAACGCGGCTGAATCGGTTGATCCATAGGTTGATAATGTATCTGTGGCTTTGAAGCAATTGTTTATAATCCATAACTCCATTTTTATGTAAAAATCGGATCACAAAAGTTAGCTGCTAATGGTAGCCACCTTGGTGGTATGCAGCTTCCGGTTTTGGCTACGCGTCGTCACTCTCACTCCTTATTTGTTCATGTGTTGGTGTGTGTAAAACTTCCCCTGATATTTGACCTTTTTAGACAGATTTAGCACAAAAAAAACCCTCTTTTGGGGCCATTTGGGTGGATTTTCCATATCTCTGGCCCACCTTGCTGGATTTTGACATGTGACATCTCTTTCTGACCGTCAGCCAATGGAATCGAGGGGAAATCACACAGTCCTTATTTGGTAATGTGTGTGTGAGAGACTTCCGCATGGCCAAGACCGGAAGCAGCAGCCACTCTGGTGGCTACCATTAGCAGCTAACTTTTGCTCTGCGATATTTACATAAAAATGGAATTATGGATTATAAATTAAATCATTTTTTTATACAGAGACGTTAAAAACCTATGGATTAACCGATTCAGCCGCGTTTTTTCTTTCTCGTTTTAATGCCATTGAACACGTCTTTTGATCAGATTGACAGCTACGGTGAGACATCTCCCCTCGAAGCTACGTAAAGGTAAGTGTTGTGATGTCTGTGTTTGCTTCCCCTGTCCGAGTTCAGATCACTCAGTGATGATACTATATACCTAAATAATCTGTGGAACCTCAGCTTTAATCGGATATCTTGTATGTGCAGCTACGATAAGTAATAAGGGTACTTTTATCTTGAGTTCTGTGCCAAAGTGCGTTAGCATTTTTCGCTCAGGGGTCATTTAGATGCTTCTTATGAAACTTGTGTTTTGTTTTGGTATAAAATAGTTTGTATCGTCAGTTAGCTGAGATTATTTCCGTTAATCTGGTATAACACATTAATAGGTTCTTAAATATTACGATCCCCTGAGACACTGTCGTGAAAAAAAAAAGTAAAGTACCCGCCGGGACTTTGGGGTTTAACAGGTTAAAAAAAACGCGATATATACCGCAGGGGGGGAAAAAACCGTGATGTCAGTTTTTTTCAATACCGTGCAGCCCTAGTCCTCAGACCCTCTATCCTTAGACCCTCTGTCCTTAGACCCTCTGTCCTTAGACCCTCACATCGTACAAGGAAAAACTTCCAGAGAAAACCCACAGTTTAAAGGGAACATGGCAGAAACCTCAGGGAGAGCAACAGAGGAGGGATCCCTCTCCCAGGACGGACAGACGTGCAATAGATGCCGTGTGTAAATTGAAAAGATAATACATTTGCAACATAGGTAGTAAAGCACCCAGATATTGTTTTAAACTGTATTAAAGTAAACAGGTATTATCTTGAACTGTATTGAAGTGAACATGTATTAGTTGGGACTGTTTAAAGTAATCCTATATATCTAAACCTTCTTACTTACACTCCATGACCCAGAGACCCTGACACACACATACACCCCCCTCCTGTCTTCATGCAGCACACACACATAAACTCCTCAACCCAGATATCAGCAACACACACACATATGCCTCTGCTTATCAGCATGCACACACACACACATACACTTTCCCTCACTAACACACACACATGTTCTTTTTTCAAGGTTCCTTGCTGGGAATAATCCGAAGCACCAATATTTCTGTGTACAATGTTTGATTGTTTTAAAAGAATAGTTGGTGTGAAATCTTCCCTGGGAAATTAAAGGAGTTGGGTCCGGTATAAGATACAAAGTGATTCTGACCTTGTATAGTTCCGATGCTGTCACGCTCTGTTCAGAAGAAAGATACTTTTTCCCAGAACTCTAATTCGCTTAGGAGTAAAATGGGACGGAAGAGCCGACACACATCTCCGCCCCAAATATGTCCATATATACTGTTGTTTCTTCATGCAAAATGCCCCCTGTTTCTGACTGGCTGGTCCCGATATCTGTATCGCACGGCAGTGGAGCGGGGAGTCCGGAGTGTTCTGTTTCAGGGCACTCTGTATTTCGTATTGTGTTTTTTACTGTATTAAAATCAGATTATTGTTATAACTTTTATGCCGGTGTGTTGAACTCCCTCTTTTATCAATCTGACCAGGCTCATCTAACGGACGGCGCGGAGCACAGGTGGGCTTTAAGCCACAGATATTGTGTTTGCTCCTACAGTAGTCCAAATGTTTGGAAATGCATGTGTGTATAATAGGAAGATGAATCCACGAGGATATCCATCCAGGACCTATGATCCAGGACCACAGCCACGACTCAAGATCCAGGGCTTGCGATCCAGGACAGAGGAGCGCAGGATCATCCATGACTCCGGATCCCGGCGTATATAGACACCAAGAAGAAAGAGATTTGGGGAAGCTGGGTTAATCGGACCCAACCCTGCATACTTGGAACGCAATGCCCTAGTAGGACAGTAGGGTATAATGAGTTCTTTAAGGTAAGATGGCGCCTGCCCATTAAGGGCTTTGTAGTAGAGTGCTTTTATTCCAGTAGTGATGAACCGGGTCAAGCAGCTGCAGTGCGTCCATGATGTGCACAGGTAGGCTTTAGTGAAGCTGATGATCCAAACTGTTAACAAGTGTTTGTACTGTTTAATGCATTATAACTTATTCTGTTTATGCTATCAATCTGCAAGTCTCTGTATATCTGTACATTCTACTATCCTATGTATATACAGTATACTCCTGTAGTGTAAACATATATTCATGTTACTAACTGCAGTACTCTTGACTTTTTTTAGAACATTTTAATTATCCAGAATTGTTATATTGTTGATATTTGATATTGTAGTGCAGAGAGAAGGGAGTCAGAGGCGCGGCATCGAAGGTGCAAAGTTGGCTTTATTAAGCAAGAGAAAAGCACATGGCTTGAAGCCCGGGAAGCAAAGAGGAAGAAGCAAGGAGGGCACACAATAAATACAGTCAGCAACACAAATGTCCGTGCGGAAACAATACCCCCAACCCGTAGTTCCATGAGTGAATTATGTAACCTAGTTCATTAGTGATCACTACACAAGCCCCTCCCAGAATTAAAACATGGACACAATCCTCGCGTCTGGGAGGAAGCACCACAGGGGCCGAGGAGGGTGGGGCCGCAGGCGAGGGCCGGGCCATGGAACGGGCCGTCGGAAGGAGGCCGCAGGAGCGGGCAGGGGGGCCCCAACGAGAGCGAGGGCATCCACACCGGGGGGGTGGGGGACGGGTCATGGAACGGGCCGTCGTGAAGTCGTCGGCGGATGAAGACAACATCAAGGAAATTGTGAGAGGATCCACACCAACAAACAAACATTGTATGATACCTAAACTAAACCTGTTCCACACCTATGAAGATGTCTTGGGCTCGTCCGGGATTTGAAGCTGGGACCTCTCGCACCCTAAGCGAGAATCTTACCCCTAGACCAACGAGCCATGACAAAAGGGTATATTTTTGTCTTCCCAACGATATCCTGTTGAAATGAAACTGCTAACCACTTTATCATTAATTGCACTTTGTCCTCAATGAACATAGCTTGGATGAAAATGCATGGCTTCTCTAAGATGAGCCTTGATCATTATTCAACCCACCTCATCACTAGATTTCCAGCAGGGCACAGTATTGGTCAAATTGTGAATTACACATTGCTTCCAACGAAAAAATGATGATTTTTTTTATTCAGTAGCTCAGTTACCGTTACTACATGGTGCGTTACTCCGTTATTTTTTGTATATAGTCTCGGCTCCCAGACGTTGGTGAGCGGCGCCAACAGCGAGGCGAACAGAGATGAGAACTGTACTTAAGTACTTGAGTAAATGTACTTAGATACTTCCTGTGCCACATGCGGAGACGCGCTGTGGGCATGTTTGTGTTTACTAACAAGACTATCATGGCGGCGGCGGAGCTCAAGTCGAGTTTCTCCACCTGGAGATATTCTCACTATTGTCGAGCACAAAGAAAAGAACGTTTTAGATAAATGTAAGTTGTGTCTTGGCGGGTCAAAGATCCTATCTACTGCCCAAACCAGTCATTCAAATCTGTTGAAACATCTGCAGAGACAACATGCTGGGACGTTGATAAAGCCATTGCACGGTATGTTGTAGAACACATGCAGGCTATTTCTACTGTTGCTATGTCTTGATCAGCAGATTGTATTATTCTCCAATGCAATAACAGAACTGAAATGAAGGCTATAAGGGCATTAATGGGAGCCCTTTGTTTAAGTAACGCGTTACTGTGAACAGTAACGCGTGACTTGTTGGAGGAAGTAATCAGTAAAGTAACCGAGTTACTTTTGAAACGAAGTAACTAGTAATGGTAACTAGTTACTGGTTTTCAGTAACGAGCTCAACACTGGAAACCAAAGCCCAGTCTGCTCTGATTGGTTAGCTGGTTGGCTCTGTTGTAGGTGTCCCGCCCCTTAGCCATTCACGTACAATGTGTTGGAGCGCCATGGAGAACTTTGGGGTTTTGTGCGGGCCATTTACATGCACACAAACAAACACAAACAAATAACACACTTCAGGAAAGGGAAAACACCTCAAAGCACAAGAAGGCCCTTTAAGTTCAGTGTAATGTAATAAACATAAGAAACAATCCGGACTTCATCTCTTACAGCTTTAGTGTTTATTTCACCATGTTGCTCTTTTCAATTACATGCCAGTGAATGTCCGAAACACAAAATCAGATTTTGAGCGAGGAGGAAATTGACTAAACCAACTTGAATAAAATATAAAAACATGCACACCACTCCAATAAAAACAACTTGAATCAAATATAAAAACAGGTTCAGAGAGGGGGGGCAGCGGGCTCCCAGGGGAGGTGTGGCTGACCCAGACCATCCCCCCCGCTGAGCTGTCCGTTATCACGCCGCTCTTGGTTCTCGTGCTACGGCGCACCAAGCAGCGCCCTCTGCTGGGGTCTTCTCCCACCGACAACACTCTGCGGTTGAGAGGTATGGCGAGTGTCGGCGAGGCTGTGAAATCCGTGGGGCTGCGGAGGTCCCGTTGAGTTTGTGGCGTTTGGGATTCCTCTGTGGGGTCTTCAGCACCGAGCGCGGGTTTAAGCTCCCCCGGGGTGTGGGGGCTCGGGCTGGGGTGGACCCCTTTTTTAGCGGGGTGCTGGGGGGGCAGCGCCTTATCAAAGAACTCTGGAGAGAGCGGACATCCAAAGCGCACTCTTCTTCTTAAACACATCCTCTCCTGAAAAGACAGAAACACTTTAACTGCAGCCATTGACCTTTACTCCCTGTAGAGGCAGAGGGGAAAGATACTTTGCTATTAACTCCTGCTGTTTTATTATTGGATCATGTCATGGTAGCTAGAGACATATAACAAGACATTGAATAAAGGACATCTATTGCAGTGGTTCTCAACTGGTGGGTCGCGTACCCGTTTCGAGTGGGTCGCAGATGGACTGACATTACAGCACCATTTGTTGTTGAATAGATTTGAGTGGTTCAAAATGTCGGGTCGCCATTTATTGACAAAGGAAAAAGTGGGTCCCGAGGCCTGACCAGTTGAGAACCTGCTCTATTGTATTTTGAATGACATACATGACATTTTCTTAACTTAAAAAAGCAAAACACTTAACTTTGATTGACCTTATTGCTTTCTATCAACTAAATGTATCCTCAACACTGAATACATATCCACATTAACAAGGTGGCGATGTTTTCCTTTCAAAGACCATAAAACACTAACTATCGGAAATATAAGAACTTCATACTTATACAAATATATTGTTATTTAACAGGTTCACTCAACAAAGAAAATACTATCATAAATAATATCTGAGTAAGCTAATCCTATTACAGGTGTTCATCCATTTAAACCCTCTCCCACCACAGCTAAAAAAACACACTCCAACTCAGGAAACTGACATTCTGTGAACTTTCTGTGCAGAAAGCTCAAAGGCAGGTTGAGCTGAGATTAAAGGGCAGTTACTCATGCGTTGCCACTGAGAGTGCTGTGTTTACCGTTAGTCAATGTCGTCGGCCCCGGAGCCTCTGCTAGGCGGCGTGCCCCTACCAGGGAAGGTGCCGCTGCGTGTAGAGGCCAGCACCTCAGGGGTAAATGGCCGGGCAGCCAGGAAGAACCGGTCAGCTTCTTCGGCTAAAGCGCGGGGCTCCGCACTAGCCGTGTTAGCGAGCGCAGCCTGGACATGCAGCCACATGTCCCGAAGAAACAGCTCCATGAAAAAGAAGTCGGGCTCTTCCGTACCTAGCAGGTCGTGTATCGTCTCCATGTGGTCAGAAGGCTTGCTGTCCCCCAGTGCCGAAACGATGTGGGAATGGCGAACGACGTGTTTGGCGATTCCGCGGAGGGCGCACCGAGCCTCAATCCGTGGGCACACAATAAATACAGTCAGCAACACAAATGTCCGTGCGGAAACAATACCCCCAACCCGTAGTTCCAGACAGACGAGTTCTGACTGATATCCCACTGATACTCTGACAGTAAAGGCTGTTAAAGGTTAGCGGGCATTTAAGGACGCCTTCTGAAGGACACTCACCAGATAATGACACTGATATGTTTCATCATGGGGCAGGAAGACCCATGCAAAAGCTCCCCACCACCACATCAATACAAGAACAGACACGTTGTAGTAGTTGTATCTCTTTCTGTCGTCATCTCTAGTCTCTGTAGTTGTATTTTTATCATGGGGTCTCTTCCTGGTTCATGTTTCTTTGAGGGACTTTAGATGGTGACGCCCTGAGCATTCATCTATCAGGACAACATATATTATTACAGCAGTTAGGATTCAACTAAATGCATTTCCTGCTGAACATGTTCTCCATCAGCTTCGTACGGCACCTTGGACATCATACAAGAAGAACATCCTTTTAGTTTGTACTTTATTCATCATCCAAACATTTCATTTGATCCCACATCCCATCAGTAAAGTCTGTTCAATGACTATTGATCAATGGCTTCATGATCACTTTCCCTTCATCCACTCCATGTGTTTCATCTCAGCTGTTTCAAACAGAAGGATACATGATGTACTTATTGATTATGATCATGATAATGTATGTTCTATAAAACAGAGTACCCCATTTCTATTTGGACAACAACAACAACAACAAGAATTAGCCTGTAATATTATACCATTGATTTCCCAAGCAAAGACTCTGAGCTATTTACAGGAGAATAACACATGATGGACTTATTGATTATGATCAAGACAGGAAGTAATATCATTTTGAATAAACATGTTATGATGAAATAATTGTTCTAACCATCTGGGTTGAATGTGTTGGTTCATTTGGGCAATAACATGGAATCTGTCAAAGTAATACATGTGATTCTAAATGTCTCTGAAGACTCGTGCACTACAAGAGAAACAACAACATGAATCAAAAGAAACATCCAGCAAATCTTTAGAGCAAAGTTTCCAGGTGAGCAAGGATCCTCCTGAGCAGTGACAGCCTCCATGCTACACAGACACAGGAAGGAGCCGGGAGAAAGTCCAACATCTACAGAACAACTCATGAGAAGACGTTCAAGCCCCGCCCATCATGTTTGAGTGACAGCTGATCTCTGCAGTGAAGACATGAACAATCAGCTCTGATGGACACACGGTGAGTTCAAGAAGTAGAAGAGTTCTTCCAAGGACTTCAGACTATTAGAGTTTACAAAACTCAGCAGTGTCTCCATAATTAAAATAAACATAAAGTCCAGCATGTAGCGGCTGAGTGAACGTGGTCTGCACTCTGTGGAGGAGAGTCATGGTTTCAGAGACGCTGTAGAAGGACAGAACACCTGCTCTGTGATCCAGGTGCACTCCTACTCTGGAGGACAGAGGACCTGAGACGGGAGTGAGGATACTGTTGTGAATAAATGTAAAACTGTTTTGGTCACAAACTAACGCCCAGGATTTGTCATTGTTTCCAAATTCACTTTCCCCCCCTGCTCTGCTGATATTCTTGTATGCGACAGCTACACGAACTCCTTCCCCTCTCCACTCCACCTCCCAGTAACAACGTCCAGTCAGACTCTCTCGACTCAGGACCTGAGGATACCATCCAGTGAATCTGTCTGGGTGACTGGAATAAGACTGACGTTGTTCCACGGCTGTTGCTTTTCTGCTCCCCTCAGATAATAACAGATATGTGAATGCTGTGTTTGGATCCAGAGTGATCTCCTGTGAATATGTGAAGAACCCAGCTTCAGTCGGTGAGACGTTTGTCCATCCCTCTCTCAGGGCGTCCTGTAGTTTGTCTCTGACTGCTGACAGGGCCGCCGTCACGTCCTCAAAGTAGCTCAGAGGACGGATGTTGATGCTGGAGGAGTGTGTAGCTTCACTGAGGGCTGGCAGTGAGGGGTAGCTGAGCAGGAACTGGTTGTGATCCTCTGTGTGAGACAGCAGCTTCAGCTCAGCGTCTCTCCTCTTCAGCTCAGAGATCTCCTGCTCCAGCTTCTCCTGGAGCTCTCTGACTCGACTCACTTCTCTCTTCTGCTGGGATCTGAGCTGCTGCTTCACATCAGAGCTTCTCTTCTCCATGAGACGGATCAGCTCAGTGAACGTCTTCTCACTGTCCTCCACTGCTTTATCAGCAGAGCCATTGACGGCCTCCACCTCCTGCTGAAGAAGCTTCACCTCCTTCTCTCCGTCCTGGATCCTCTGCTGGATGTTGAGTCGACTCCCCTCCAGCTCTCTCTGCCTCTCAGTCCTCTCTGCTGCAGCTGACACCGTGTCGTGGCCTTTGTGTTCGTCCATAGAGCAGAGAGAACAGATACTCTGCTGATCAGTGCGGCAGAACAGCTTCTTCACCTCGTCGTGACGAGAGCAGATGTTCTCCTGGAGCTTCTTGGAGGGCTCCACCAGCTTGTGTTTCTGTAATGGAGCTGCGTCATAATGAGGCTGGAGGTGTTTGTCACAGTAAGAGGCCAGACACACGAGGCAGGACTTACAGGCTCTCAGCTTCCTCCCAGTGCAGACATCACAGGCCACAGCTTCAGCTCCAGCATAGCAGAGATCAGCAGGAGCAGCTGGGGGTCCAGTCTTCTTCAGCTCCTCCACTAAAGCTGCTAACATGGTGTTCTTCAGCAGGACAGGCCTCGGTGTGAAGCTCTGCCTGCACTGAGGGCAGCTGTGGATCTTCTTCTCATCCTATCCGTCCCAGAAGCCTTTAATACACTTCATGCAGTAGCTGTGTCCACAGGTAGTGCTCACCGGATCCTTCAGTAGATCCAGACAGATGGGACAAGATAACATTTCCCGCTCCAGCTGAACTCCTTTCTGCGCCATCTCACCTCTCAGTAGCAGCGAGTGTGAGTTTCACTTCCTGAGAGCTGAAACTAGTGACAGCTGATCTGAACAGCATGTGTGTGAAGCAGTGAATGTGGCCTATCAGCTCTGTACTTTACCCACATGTTGGTTTCACCCCTCCTCCTCAGTGTGGGTCTGAAGGGGAGGAGCCAGGAAACACAGAGTGGAGCTGGCTGTGTCTGAGAGCAGGAAGAAGAGGGAGGGCTCATCAAACGCTGACTCATTCCAGGAGGAGGAGCAGTGCTCAGACTCTGACCTCCACAGAGCCTCGGTTACAACCTGCTCTTCCTTTGAAAAGAGCTTTTAGTTGTAAAATAAGTTGGTAAACTTACAAAATCTGAAGGGGGTTAAATACTTGTTTCCTCCACTGTAAATGTATAGAAGGCCTCTTTACCAAGCTCCAAACTAAGTGAAATATCACAAAAAGTGTAAAAGATATCATAAATCTGAAGAACATGTTTAATAGCTGAATGTCTTGTGATCATCTTAAAGTTGGAATGAAGTCTCTAGCTGAAAGTATGTGGAAGGAGAAGCTTTTGGTGCACGGTGTAGCTAAAAGAGGATTTGAAGGTTCCTCCCATTGAGTCACATGTTAAAGAAAGAGTTTAAAAAGCTGAATATTTCAAAAAGTAGAAAGTGTTTTGAAAAAGTACAAAGTGTCCCATCATGTGCTGAAAAGGCTGCATCTTGTGATGTCTGAATGGTTCCTGGAGCTGAAAGTATGGCTGCACAGCATTCCACTAAGTAAACTAATGCAGTGCACCAAGCAGCTCTCTGGTGTTCCCTCCAGCTTCAAGTCAGCATGAAGTCACGGAGAGGCAACACCATCCAGCTCTGAAGGAGTTTCTGTGCTCACTTCCTGTCTCTTTGTATTCATGTTGGGAAACTTTGTACACATGTGATGTCTCTTTTTGGATATTTGGAGTTTTTACCTTTGAAACTCTAGATATTTCTTCTCCTTGTGTTTTCTGTAATCCCTTGTTTGTTCCAATGTGGCCGTTAATGTCTCCCTGGTTCATCACATGGAGACGCCCTGATCAGTGAACTATGGACGACAGATCTCTATCAGCTGAGATTGGAAATGTGCACCATGTCCAGTAACCTGGTTCATGTTCCTCAGAGTTGCAGAAGATGCTGACGCTCTGTTCAGTAATGAAATAGACCTTATTTCAGGCGAGTGCCAGGTAAGAGACACTTTGAAAAGCTCTGCTTCAAAGCAGCTCCGCCTCTTTGTGTTGTCCTTTATCAGCAGGTGGTGTTTGTACGTCTCTCTGTAGTAACTCAGTCCCTTGGTGCTCATTCTGTGTCTTTCTGGTCACGCTTCATTGTGGTCACTTTGAGGGTCTATATTCTTATGAACCATTCAAACCTAAAAGCTTACAAGCTTTAAAGTTACCTTCAGATTTAAATGAGAAAAAGTCACGAGACAGAAAACAGAATCCAGCTCAAAACGTTTATTCAGTCATCAGAAACTTCCATGTTAAGTTTCACAGGAGAGGAGGATTATGGGTAATGTAGTCAAACATGATCATCTACATATGATCAGATCAGGTGAACTCTGAGGATCAGCTGGGATCTCTCAGGTGACTTCAGTTCTTCCCCCCCATGGTGTGCTTGTCGAACAGGTACTTCGGCCATCTTGTTGGTGTTGGAGTCCATTCTGCTCAGATTAGAGATGAAGTCTCCGAGCTTCTTGATGGACTCGACCTGCTCGTTCAGGTAGTGAGTCTCCAGGAAGTCACACATCTGAGGAGGAGAAGAGAGCAGACGTTAACAACTAAGCTTCAGAGACGTTGAATCCCAGAGATCATCAGTGTGTAGTTCCTCATGTTCAGCAGGTGTTACTCACATGAGGGTCGGCGTGGTCTGAGGCCAGTTTGTGCAGATCCAGCAGAGCCTGGTTCACGTTCTTCTCCAGCTGCAGAGCGGCCTGCATGGCCTCCAGACCCGAGCCCCACTCGTCTCGCTCTGGCTTCTGTAACGAGGGACCACCAGTTAGAGGGGGAGGGTACATAAAGCAAAGAGCCTCAGTCTTAGTTTGAAATAAGTGAGAAACATGTTTATTTAAGACAGATTTAGGAAAGCCACCACTA